TGCTGAATGAAAACCACAATTCTAAATCTAGTTTTTTAAAGACAAATAATAAAATATATTGATCTTATAATCAATCATCACCAATAAAAAACTACTTTTCAACTTAAGACTTGGCCCTTATTAAAACTCAAGTGGGCCTTTAAACTGCTGGGTTAAATGTTGTTTGAACTTCAGGTCTTTGGCCAGGTCTGCGGTGCACACACACATAAACACAATAAACCACAGTATTTTCATTGTACCGTAGTTCGACGGAAAGAAGACATGTTGGCTGCAGTCAAGTCAAAGCCTGTTTTGAAAGCAGACACTTCTTCAAATTCAAATGGAATAATAAGAACCACATTCATCAACAGAAGTTAAACATTTATAATATCACTCAGAACATCTGCCGTATAAATCTGCAGATCTCATTTTAGAAAGTGCTCCACCTCTCCTTACTCCTTACTGAAGAACAGCAATGGTAAATAAAACTGACGGTAATCAATCACTGTGGGAATGCTGCCTGATTTTCCTATTGTGTTTCCCGATGGTCATGTTTCCAGGCTGCTGCTGATACAAACTGCCAGTGTTTTTTAGGACACATAGCAGAAATAATCATTTCTTCAGTGATGGTCAGGAAGTTTAGATTACAGAAGCTGATTCACATAGAGATTTTCAAGAACTGTTTTCAATATGTAAGTGAAAATGTACAAATAGGCTCCTGTAGTGAATTAAAAAAGAAAAACTGTAAAAAAAAAAAAAGCAAAAAGAACTAAAACAAGGACCCAAGATGAATAGAAGTTGGCCTTTTTGTGTTACCTGTTTTTATAAAACAAAACTAGTTGAAATTTGCTGTGTTACAACCCTAACTCTGAAATTAAGAGCAGGTATTTGAGAATACAGCTGTACTTTGAAGCTGTCACTGAATATTTAATTATGAAGTATAAAGTCTGTTGATGTTCTGATGTTGTTGTTACTATTGGAACTGTGTTGTTCTTAGTCAAACAACCAGATGAGCTATTGTTTTCTTATTCCAAAAAGAGTGTGTCTGCTGTGAAAACAACACAACAAAAAAGAGGAAACACAACCGTTACATTGCAAGGAGCTGAAACTTGTGATTCAGCATCAGTGGACAGCAGAAGTCAGGTGATGGGAGTCCACATGTCAATCACTTGGTGTTGACTGTCATTAAAAGCACCTACGGTTATATTTTGGTTATATTAAATGATCATTACTGAAGTAAAATACATAGTACTTTAGTAATTGAAAGTACTATGTGTAGTACTTTAGTAATTGTATATATCAATGGAGGGCAAAATAAAGGAACATAAGTTCACCTCACAAAGAGCATTCAGTTGGTGCAAAACAAAAGAATCAAAACAAGGACGGAAAAAAATACCTTAGACACTTTGTGACAAAACCAGTCAAGTGCTAATGACAAATGATTGCAGTACAATTTAAGTTACTGTGAAGTACAAAGGTTAAGCACTGCAAAAAAACTTAAGTTAAACTGAAAACACTAGAAATGTGACTTCACATTTTTCTCTTAATTGCCAAACTCTGACTGTGGCTGGTGTTTTTGCACCATATTCACACCACTGTATTATCCACAGAGCCTGAGTCAAATGTGGGTCAGCAGCAAACGTGAGCACATGATGTGTTCAGGCGCACACATCCGTCTGCACAATTAGG